CAAGATCTATGGTCATTTACATGAGGAAAAAAAATAAACAAGGGTTAATATAGTAACATCTCAATCAGAAGTTATTTTTCACTTGATTTTTCCTAGAATAAATAATGGATAAAAGCACAAGGCATGTGATAATATATACAAAAACTGCTTTGGGCACATTTAGCCTTATTATTTTCATATCTTCTACAATCATTGATAATCAGAAAGATGATGCTAAGACACTATATATAATATTCTGATTATCAAAGAAAGATTTTATTATATTTAATATTTAGTATGTATAACCCTAGAAAATAGGATAAGTCACTTGGCAAATTTTCAACAAGGATTGAAATAAAAACAAAAAAGTATTCTGTTTAACCTTTTGTAACTCAGGATATTAAGTTCATAGTATTTCCTTCACAGAAGGCTGATGCTTCACTGTATTTTCATGCTATCGCTTTACTTTCAGATAATTTTAAAAGAAGGTATTAGCCTAGGTCTAAATAATTATTGCATTGGGTTAAAATTTTATTTGTATATTTTATAAATACAGTATTGCTTTCCATCACAATTTTTCAAGCTCTAAAGTTAAAATATTTAATATTTTATTCTTAAATTATTTATCTGTAATAAAATATAATCACAAAATAATACTACAATCAGATGATGCTTTGAAAGAGAATTTTACATAACCTCAATAGTAAAAGACCTCTTTAGATTACATGATTGTTAGGGGTTCTGTTAAAAGATACATCATAAGACGTCTTACCTGTTCAATCCTGACTATCCTATAACCTTTAGGATACTCTCTGGAGGAAAAGAGGACCACAATTCACTTTTGACTCTAAAAAGGTACACACCCACACTCAACCCTCATCTATCCTGAGGTATCTGAAGATCTAATCTTCAGATTAATCTTTTGTTATTTTGTGAATCTCATTACTTTGTGGCCTAGCAAAGGGTCAAGACTACACTTGGATGTTCAATAAACACTCTCCATATCAAAGCACACATCTTTTAAGAATATCAAATTGGGAAAAAAAGGCTTATATTAATAATAAAGTCATCATCTGCCTATTCTTGATCCCCAGAGATAGCCAGTATTAATTGGCCAGTCAGCTGCATCCATGTCTAATATATACATAATACTATTTCTTGACTTATCAATTTGAGATACTACTGCTTGCCACAACATTACTAGCTAATATTTATTGTGTTCACTAAGCAGACCTTATTAAATCTAAGCAGACCTTATTGTGTTCAAAAAGCAGACCTTATTAAATGTGAAGACAGTAGATACAGTAATACTTCGGTTTAATATCCAAACAAAAAACCCATTAGACATGAATATGGATAAAATGAATGTGAGATTTAAAAAATATTACCATTAAAAAGACAGAGAGAGTAAAATGAGAAAAAAAAGCTATAGCAGAAGTTTTGAAATTGAGAAAAAAGGAAGAAAGCAAAAGATGAAAGCCCTAGATAATCTAGGCAATCCAGTTCAAAGCTGAGTCAGATCTTGCTGAAATAGAGAACCCCCATAATACTCTGGCAGAAGGGGGTATTATGATCTCATTCTACGAATGAGCTGAGACAACTTGCTGAGGATGTGCCAATGGGTAAAACAGAAGACTGGTTATAGCAAGTCTGCTGGACCAGTAGACCAACATGTGGTCTCTGTCCCTCTACTGAAGTCTTTTCTCCAACCATTCTAAACGACAGGACTCTGACTCTACTAATTTGGCACCAATTTGAATTCTGTCAAGTATTTTGTGTGCATGTAACTTCCCAACTAGATATTACCTTCTGGAAAACATGTTATCCTTTCTATTTTATTTTAACGCATAAAACTTAACACAGTGCTATGTACCTAGTGGTTAGGTGATTATCTTAAAAAAAAAAAAATCACAACTTACAATCAGAACACTTGAGTTTGAAGAAATCTTAGAGATAATCTAGTCTAGCCTCCCTATCGCAAAACCAAAGAAACTAAGAGCAGTAAAGTATCTACTAGCTCAAGGTCACAAAGCTAGGGATAGCACCCTAATCCCTTGATAATCAGTTCATCTTTTTCCAAATAGCCTTTAATTTCTTCCATTATGATAAAACAAATAATCACCATTTTAACAGAAAACAAAGTAACACCAGCTTCTCTTTCAGTATTTACTATATGTCAGGGCCTTTACAAGGTTTTGCTTGGCAGCCTACTTGCCTAGATCTGTGATGACTGCTTTGTAAACGTTATCCTACTTAACACTAACTCTGAAAGTAGGCATTATCAATCCGATTTTACAAATGAGGAAAATGTCATTTGACCATGATAACAGTAAGCAGCAGAATCAAGATTTTTGGTTTTTCACCACAGCTTTGGTTCTACAGTACCTCTCACTGAATGTACCAAAAAAAATTCTGAAGTCTCACGCAGAGTCCCAGCACAATAAGTGACCCAAACATCATAAACAAATATTTAAATGACTGAATGAATGATTTAATTCATTAAAAAGTAAGGTTCTCTTACCACAAATACCTCTAAAAAGTGTTCCCCTAATTGCATAATCCTAAAGTTTTAACAGTAGTTTGCATACTAACAAGAGATTAAAGCAATGGCTTATTTTTTTATCCTACAAACAATTCATCTATTTAATGAATATTTAGTGAGAAACTATTTTTGTGACAGTGTTAAATCGAAAGATAAAAAGTAAAATAAAACTTGTTCCTGCAAGATCTTATTCCACTAAATTAAAATCCACATAAGTTTTAAATCACTCACCAAAATCAAAATAAATGTGTAACACTTCCCTCCTTCTGGTAGAAGGAACAGAAATAACATTAACTAAGCACCTGCAACATGCCAGTTCTTTAACCTCAACACAGTTTCACCTAACACCTTTCAGTCATGTAAACTAGGCAACATCTCTATCTCCTGATGAACAAACCGAGGCTTAAAGAAACTAAGTACCTGTCTCAGGTCACTTAGGTGGTTACTAAAGATCCAGAATTGGAATCCAAGTCTGTCTGACCCAAAGTCTACGTTTTCTTCAAAAAGTGATTAAAAGTAGTATTATTTCATTGCTCACCGAGACAGAGAGTGGGTGCTTTCTAAAGGAGGCTGAAAACACTGCTTATTTAACAACAAAAATACATTATCTCACTTAATCTTCACTATAGTCTACTAGCTAAATATTATCATCCCATTATAAATGAAGCTACTCAGAGAAGTATCTTGCCCAAGAACACACTGCTAAGCAGCAGCAGAACTACACCAGGTCTGCACCAAGTGCAGACACTAATCGCAAAAAAAAAAAAAAAAAAATGAAAAAAAAATGCAGAAAGACCTCAGCTGTGTGGTTACAAGCTTAAGATCCAAGGCACTTAAAACTAATCAGACCTTATACTTTTTGGTTAAAAAGGAATGAAATATACTATTAACACCAATTTCCACTTTTCAATTATGAGGAGGTTGATTTTCTAGTAATATCCTATCCATTAACTGGCAATTTGAAGACCGGTTTCCAAACTTCAAACCTGCTGGCCATTCTATTATACCAAGCAATCCCCGGTTAATTATTCTTAAAGTAGCAAACAGCATAAATACTATTTTACGAAGCAAAGATTTATGAAGAATAGTATGTTATAATATATAGAATAAATATTTAAGTGTTTGAAATATTTCCAGAGGACCAAAAGAAGAGAAATAGTCCCTTAGCAACATTTTCAAGGCATCATCTTAAAACTTTGTCTGCTTCTTGATATATTTATTTTTGGGGCCTAAGTGTGAACCAAAAGAGAAATCTCCAAAGCCAATTCTGATAATGTTACCACTTTGGTCAAAAAAAAAAAAAAAGTTTCGTCTTACTGTACAATTCTTGTTTGTCAGAAGTCCAGAGTAGCCTTTTCTATTGAGACTGGCCCACGAATATGTTCCTAAGAAAATGACCCATCTGTTTTTGACAAACCAAAGTGATGAACGGGAGGGTAGTTGAGTACTAACATATGAGACTGACTGCCATTATTCGCATTTTACTCAAAAATAGGAGCATGCTACAAACCAAAATCCAGAAATAAACAGAATCATTCTAATGTAAAGCAACCAGGTAGAGACTTCCATGTTTGTTCACCCTACAACACAATGATTGTCTTCACCCTCAACCTCATAAAAACTACCCGGAAGCTGTGCCCCTGCCCCATCCACAGACCACTGTGAATCATTAAAAACCAGAATGCATCCAGAATTGCTTCCAGGCCTTAACTAGCACTAGCTCAGCTACAAACTAGGAGAGGTAAACAAGTACAGAATGTGACTGATCCTGGAGGGGGGCACTGTTTACTTATATGGGAAGATACTCATGCTGATGGGAAACGTGTTGCACTGTCCTTTCCTGGCTCCTAAAAAACAGTACTTTGACAAGCTAATGTAAGCATAGTTCTATTCCCAAAAGTTTTGACCTATCTTTTTAATCGCTTAAGGACAAATGCTCAAATAAGGACAACTGACACAAGGTGCCCCAAGGTGCTGCCCATGGCATAACCTGGAAGGACATCGCTATGTCCAAGAAATTGTCCCCTCATAGTGAGCTAAATGGAAGGATAGATACCGTCATTCACACTGGCGAAGAAAAAAAGAAGAAACCAAAACCAGACGCGCTTCCTCCTTGCCCCCGAAAGGTTTGGAGCAGGAATAGAAGCTAAGCCGCGGTTCCAAAACAGCACCAGGACCCCCGGCGCCTCTGCACCCGCAAGCAGCGAGGGGACAGAGCAGAACCATCAACATCTCCACCTCTGTCCTCCAGGCACAGCCAGGGACTGCGTCCCAAAGCCCGCCCCGGTCGGGCCCGCCCCGCTATCTCCTCCCCCGTTATCCGCTCGCAGCCGCGCTCGGGCCTGGACTCGCCTCCCCACCCTCCCCAACTTCGGCACGTCCCACTAACCCACACACGTAGGCCACCGCCCTCGGCGCGTCCGGAGGAGAAAGGTTGGAGAGCTGCAGGGCAAGAAATTCGCTCGGCGCGGTTCCTCACCTCTGGATGGAGAAGGGGCACACAGCCCGCCTCAGTATCGTACTCATCCGGGCCGTCCGCCATCTTGGTGTTAAATCCCTCCTCCCGCTGCATGCCGGGAGAAAGCGTTTCACCCTCGCGGGGCTCCGGCGAGGCGGAGGGCGAGGGCGAGCGCGAGCGCGAGCCCCGCCAGAGGCGACGCGGCTGCCTCCTTCTTCCCTTGCCCCCGTGACGCCCCCTGTGCCCCCTCCCGCTCGGAGGGCGCGGGTTTCTGCGCGCGTGCGCGGAAGCGCGGCCCGGCCGCGGACGGGAGCGCGCTCTGCTGCACTGCGCTGGGGCAGACGGACGGCTCTGGGCGTGGGCGCCGCGGCTCGGGGGCGGGTCCCGGCCGGAGGCAGATGTGCGCTTCTGGCTGCCCGGCGGAGGCGGCGGGGCTGTGAGGTGTCAGCTGGGGAAATCTGGCGGCCGCTTGGGAGCAAGAATGGAGCTTCGGAGCCGCGCAGCCCAAGTCTAGGCAGCCGGGGCGGCCCACGCCCACACACCCAGCTCTCCTGCTCCGGGACCCCGCTTCAGAGACCCCGGCGGAGCCATCGCCCGGCTCCAGGGAGAAGGTTTGGTTCTGTCAGGCTTGAGTGGAAACGTGCATCACTCCTGAGACTAAAGAAGCACCCCTTCCCTCCACGCTCAAAAAGGTCACCCCGCAACCTAAGCCTCCGGGGGGCACCCGGAAAAATACGGGTGCAACTTGGGGATTCCTCCTAGAGAAGCCTTTTTTAAACGATCCCAACCTGCCTTCATTGGTCTTGAATTACTACCACATAAAAAATTTACGAGCTCAAAGCCCACACACCGCCATCTGCTCCGTTTTGGTATAACCCAGGAATTCAGAACTGAAGTCATTTAAACTGAATTCGCTGAAATGCTAACCAGATAACATGACTAAAGTCATTTTTTAAAGGATGTTATAGGGCTGGCATGGGAGGTTGCTCGCCAGAATGGGGTGATGGGACAGTTTTAGAAGGCATTTGTCTTTGTTTTTAGCTATTAAAAATTGTAGCTCTAAACAGCCCAGAGAAAGATTTAGCAGAGGTCATGGAACATGATCTATTAGAAATCCCGGTGCTAGCAATCTGTCTACTGTTAAACCCCCATCAGCCAAAGGCCACCACAAAGAAGCCTGTAGTCCCACAACATCAGATTTAAAATCTGGAGGGAGGTCACTCCAAAGAAAGAGTGGAATACCACTGGGAAAGGGAGGAGGAAGCCTTTGTAAGGTTTATGTTCCCGCCAAAGGAGTCTGAGGAGGGTCCAGAGCGAACAGGAGTCAGTTCTGGATTGGACGCTGTTTCTGCAGCGCTATGAGGAAAAGCTGGGATTAAGAAGGGATTGGATACTGTCATGAGGCTGGGACAATTTAATAACTGGGTACCCCAGTAATAAATGAAAATAGTAAAGTGGACCTGGGGCTCGTTGGTAAGAGACCAGTAATCACTCAAAGTGGCTATGGCATTTTATAGCTGCTTCATGGCAGTGGGGGAAAAGAAGGCTCTCTGTTCACTTTGCAGCTGGCTTTATCTGTGTCAGTCCTCCCAGCAACAGCTGCTTTTTCTTTCAGTCCAAGCTGATTTTCATTCTCTTAGTTCTGGCCCAAAGTAGAAATCATCATGCAACACTAGGCAGAATTGGGGTTCTGCCTTTGGAGCACCAAATTGTTTTCAGACACATGTTAACATGGACAGAAGTCATTTTCACATCAACGTTTTCATATTTAATCTTGCCCCTCCTTACCCTCATGCATTTACTGCAAATAGAAAATGGGAGTAAAGAAAGGAAAGTCAGTGAAAAAGTTGAAAGATGGCATCAATAAAGTCTTGAATGAAGTGAAGAAACTAGGCATGAAGAACAGGAGAAAATGTTTCATGGGTTCCCATCTTTAGGAGTGTTAGTGCATATGTATGGGAGGGAGCATTTATAAAATGGAGATGTTTAGTCTTCTCAATGATCTCAGGTTCACAAAGGTCCTAAGTGGAAGGATCAAGAGCCAAATTCAGCTAGTAAAAATGTTTCATTTGGCCCACATGGTAGTTTGGTAGTTTTCAAAATATATTTTAATTAGATACTGCAAATTCAATAAATCAGATTTCACTTTAAAGTCTAGATTTCTAGTTCACCTGGAAAACATGATAAGCCTTCCTGCTTATCCACTGGACCTATGGCCTGCTTTGTTTTCATTACCTGCATGGCATCTGTGGACATTTTTATTTGTGACATCTAAGAATTCTACAACTTTAACATAAAGAAAATACTAAAGGTAGCTGAAAAGAAGTTGAAACAACTCAGCTAGGGGCAGTATCTGCTTTGCTCACTGGTGTTAAGATTGAAATAAATAGTTTTTAAATGAAGAACTGAAGGAAGAAAGAAATCAAGAGCAAGAGCAGCTATTCTTGGGAAAACATGTTTAAGTTGAGGCTTGGGCTGGGTTCTGTATGGACCAGAAAATTCTTTAGATATAATCAGAGTCCCTCTTGGTAATTATAGAGCTCTTATCTATAGCTCAAATTTGAGACAGTGTATTCAGGGGACTGTAAAGGACAGCCAAGAAAGTGCTCTGATTGGGTAGATTGGCAAAAGAATGGCATAGAATTATAGAGAAATGCAGAATAGTGGCTAAAAGAGAATAAAATTCAAAGAGAAAAATAGACCTTGTTAGAGAAGAATTGAGAAATAGATTTAGAAGCAGACAGATTGGAAGTAATGGAGCATTGTTATATAAATACAGTTTCATATGTAACTTCAGAGATTACTGAAGCTAAAGCCAACATTAGAGATCATACAGTTTTAGTCCAATTCTATCAATTCACAAGTGGGAAATGATGGGGAATTTAAGAAACCCTCTTAAAATCCTAGAAGTAGGTGATAGCAGAATCATGTCTAAAAGCCTCCTGAATCTTCCACATCTAATACTATTGCCTCTACCCCATATTTCTTCTGTTGCAATTATCCTCAATGAATTATTTTGTCCATTGAATATTTTTTACTGTGATAAGAGCAATTAACATGAGATTTACCCTCTTAAATTTTTAAATGCGCAATACAGTATTAACTATAGGTACAATGTTGTACAGCAGATCTCTAGAACTTATTCATCTTACATAACTGAAACTTTATACCTATTGAACAGTGACTCATTTCCCCCTACCTCAACTCCAGGCAACCACCATTCTTCTCTCTGTTTCTATTAGTTTGACTATTGTAGATACTCCACATATGTGGAATCGTGCAGTATTCATTCTTCTATGACTGGCTTATATAATGTTCTCCAGGTTCATCCATGTTGTCATATTTGGCAGGATTTCTTTTTTTTTTTTGAGACAGAGTCTCGCTCTGTCACTTGAGCTACAATGCCATGGAGTCAGCCTAGCTAACAGCAACCTCAAACTCCTAGGCTGAAGCAATCCTTCTCTCTCAGCCTCCTGAGTAGCTGGGATTACAGGCACATGCCCACATATGCTAATTTTTTCTTTTTTCTTTCTTTCTTTTTTTTTTTTTTAGTAGAGACGGAGAGTCTCGCTCTTGCTCAAGCTGGTCTCAAAATCCTGGCCTCAAGCAATCCGCCCACCTCAGCCTCCCAGAGTGCTAGGATTACAGGTGTGAGCCACCTTGCCCAGCCTTTCCTCATTTTTAAAGGCTGAATAAATATTCCATTGTGTGTGTATATATATATATACACACACACACACACACCCCACATTTCTTTATCTATTCATCCATCAATGTATATTTAGGTTGTTTCCATATCTTAGCTATTGTGAGTAATGCAATGAACATGGGAGTGCATATTATCTTTTTGAGATTCTGATTTTACTTCTTTTGGATATATAACCAAAATGGGATTGCTGGGTCATATGGCAGTTCTTTTTTCATATTTTTGAGGAACTGCCATACTGTTTTCCATAGTGGTTGCACCATTTTGCATTCCCACAAATAGAGTATGAGGATTCTAATTTCTCCACATCCTCGTTATCTTTTTTTTTTTTTAATGGAAGCCATCATAACAGGTATGAGGTGATACCTCAATGTGTTTTCAATTTGCATTTCCGTGATGATTAGTGATGTTGAGCACCTTTTCATATATCTGTTGACCATTAGTGTTTCTTCTTTGGCGAAATATCTACTTAAATCCTTTGTCCATTGTTTAATCAGATTATCTGGGGCTTTGTGCCATTGAGCTGTAGAAATTCACTGTATATTTTGAATATTAATCCCTTATCAGATGTATGATTTACAAATATTTTCTGCTATTCTGTAGGTTGCTGTTTCACTTTGTTTCTTTTGCTGTGCAGAAGCCCCTTAATTTGATATAATCTCACTTGTCTAATTTTGCTTTTGTTGCTTGTGCTTTTGATGTCATATCTAAGAAATCATTGGACATTGCCAAGTCCAATGTCATGAAGTCTTCACCTATGTTTTCTTCTGGGAGTTTTACAGTTTCAGATTTTACATTTTACTTTTTAATCCATTTTGAGTTGATTTTTATGTATGGCACAAGATAAGGGTTTAATTTCATTTTTTGCATGTGGATGTCCACTTTTCCCAGCACCATTTATTGAAAAGACTATCCTTTCCCCATTATGTAGTCTTAGCACCCTTGTCAAAATTCAGTTGACCATAAATATGTGGGTTTATTTCTGAGCTCTCTATTTCATTGGGTCATATGTCTGTTTTTATGCCAGTACCATACTATTTTCATTACAATAGTTTTGTAATATATTTTAAGGCCAGAGGGTATGATGCCTTCAGCTTTGTTCTTTCTCGAGATTTTCTATTCGGGGTCTTTTGTGGTTTCATATGAATTTTAAGATTATTTTTTTCTATTTCTGGAAAAAAATGCCTTTGGGATTTTGATAGGGATTACAATTAATCTGTAGATCACTTTCCATAGTAGGGACATTTTAACAATATTAATTCTTCCAATCCATGAACATGGGCTATATTTCAATTTATTTGTGTCTGTGATTTCTTTCGTCAATGACTTGTAATTTTCAGCATACAAGTCTTTTACCTCCTTCGTTGAATTTACTCCTAAATACTTTATTTTTTGATACTGTCATAAATAGTATTGTTTTCTTAAGGCAGGGAGTTGCTATTTTGACAAGAGAAACCCAGCACACATTACCAGTACCCTACACTCCTATTTTAGTGAAGTGAGGACAATTTTTCTGCACTCATATTCTGTATGAGTGATGTAGACAAAACCTTACCTGAGATTGAAGGAAATATATGGAATTAGCATGTGTGATAGCCAACTTCCAAGAAGACCCCCAATGATTCTCATATCCTGGGATGCATACCTTTGTACCCTCTCACACTAAGTAGGGCTAATCTGTGGAACCAATAAGATATTCAGAACAGTGGTGTGTGATTTTTGAGGCCAGCTCATAAAAGGCATCAGTGCTTCTGCCTTGTTCTCTCTTGAATCCCTATTTCTAGGGGAAGCAAGCTGCCATATCATGAAGACATTCAGGCAGTTTTATAGAGAGGTCTACATGGCAAAGAACTGAGGCTTCCTGCCAAGAACCAGCACTGATTTGCCAGGCATGTAAGTGAATTGCTGTAAAAGTGGATCCTCCAGCTCCAGTCAAGCCTTCAGATGGCTACAATCCCAGCTCTCATGTTGACCATGAACTTATTAGAGACTTTAGGCCAGCACCAGCCACTTAAAGTACACCTAAATTCCTGATCTACTAAAATTGTGTAAAATATAAGTGGTTATTTTCCTAAGCTGCTAAGTTTTCAGATAATTTGTTATACAACAATAAATAATACAGTGTGTAAAGCCTGAAACTCTCAAATCATTTGCAAAGTTTTATGTTTACAAGAATCCAGCAGGATCAAAACATTCAGTCTGCCGGGCGCGGTGGCTCACGCCTGTAATCCTAGCACTTTGGGAGGCCGAGGCGGGCGGATCGCTCAAGGTCAGGAGTTCGAAA